GAAGAAAATAAAAATTACCAATAATCTCACTATCCAATAATAATCACAATTTATGTTTTTTTGCCTGCCCATCTCTCTTAACTGATTTGGTGCCACTAATTGCAATATATGATGTGACAACAGAAGCAATCCACCTACTGTGTGTAAAAAAATCAAATATCATAATTATTGAGGGCAGAAAGCAAATAGCTCCCAGAATCCCATCCCCTGAGTGGTGGACTCAGCGACCTGCCATCTATTCTGGGAATGTGTGCCCCAGCCTATCAGTGTTTTCCGATGTGTGGGCTGCTGCTGACTAATGCACGTTTACACAGCCTTTTTAAGTCCAGATGAGCAAACGGTGGTGTTCCTCAGGCTTAGCTGAACGTCCGGGCTCTGACAGCTGGAAGACAAGAGGAGCAGAAAGGATGGGGAAAGGAGGGTCCGCTCTTTTCTGCAGGCTGTGTTGGCCGGGGCAAAGTAACAAAGCAGAGAGAGCCTAGGCTTTGAACACGAAGGATCGGAGTTCGAGTTCCCGATTCACTGTTTAAGGCTGTGTGGCGTTGGGCAGGCCCCTTAACCACTCTCAGCCCATTTCCTCATCTGTAAAACGGGAATAATGCCTAACAGAGTGGTAAAGGTGAAAGGCAGTGCACATGGGCTGGGCACCGTGGCTCATGCCTGTAATCCCAGCACTTTGGGAGGCTGACGTGGGTAAACCACCTGAGGTCAGGAGTTCGAGGCCAGCCTGGCCAACATGGTGAAGCCCAGTGTCTACTAAAAATACAAAATTTAGCTGGGTGTGGCGGTGCACACCTGTAATCCCAGCTACTTGGGAGGCTGAGGCAGGAGAATTGCTTGAACCTGGGAGGTGGAGGTTGCAGTGAGCCGAGATTGCGCCACTGCACTCTAGCCTGGATGACAGAGTGAGACTCTGTCTCCCCCCAAAAAAAAAGATAGTGCACATGGTATGGCCTCACTAAATAGTGGCCATTGTTCAAAATATTTGCCAACTTCCCGAATCTTTTCCTGCCTCTCCTACCACCTCTCCACAGCTCTTTTCCCTGTCCCCTGTTGTCCTTGCGCTGTCTGCATTAGCCAGGGGGTCCTTAGCTGCAGACAGCAGGATCCAGCCTAACCAATTCAAGCCAGAAGGGCTTTAGGAAGGGTTAGATAGAGATCAAGTAACTGGCAGGAGGGCCAGAGACACTGGCACTAGGCAGGCTTCCAGGGACAACCAGCTCTCAGGATCGCACTGAAGAACTGGCTCACCAGCGGAGCTGCCACCTTACCCGGATCAGGCAGCTGCCAAGTCAGGATGCTGCGGCCTTGGTTCCTGCCTCCAGAGCCAAGCTCCCTCTGCCACAACCCACAACAACAAAACGATGCCCTGTTCCCTGCCTCTCTCTCACCTTAGTTCTGAGTCCAGGTCTCCTGCAGGGACGAGCAATTAGCTGAATCTCAGTCACATCTCGGAGCCCCAGCAGGGCTGATATTTCTGTATTGGAAAGGTGATGTTTACACTCAGAATATGGAGAGAAGGGGCCGGGCATGGTGGCTCACACCTGTCATCCCAGCACTTTGGGAGGCCAAGACAGGTGGATCACCTGAGGTCAGGAGTTTGAGACCAGCCTGGATAACATGGTGAAACCCCATCTCTAATAGATATACAAAAGTTAGCCAGGCATGGTGGTGAGCACCTGTAATCCCAGCTACTCGGGAGGCTGAGGCAGGAGAATCGCTTGAACCTGGGAGGCGGAAGTTGCAGTGAGCCGAGATCACGCCACTCAAAAAAAAAAAAAAAAAAAAAAAAGAGAGATATGTGGTCTCACTATGTTGCTCAGGCTGGTCTTGAACTCCTGAGCTCAAGTGATCTGCTCACCTCGTCCTCCCAAAATGCTGGGATTACAAGCGTGCACCGCCATGCCTGGCCATGATTCACATTTTTAAGAAGATGCTTGTCAGTCTAATCTCCGAACAATGACATCTCAGGCAGTATAAGAAATGAGCTGAAAATGTTTTCAGTGCAATCAAGGAAACTATTTTTAGTTGGGGCAAATCCAGAACGAGGGTCAGGGCAGCCTGGGAAATGTCCCGAAAGTCAGATTCCTGAAGTTGTTCCTGATGTTCCAAGCTGCTGCCTTTTCTCTGGCACTGGATCAGAATGTATTTGCAAAGGCTCTAATTCTTCTCATAGTGACAGCTTTGGCAAGAGTGGGTGGAGCTGGTAGGTGTAAGCAGGTGGGTTTATGTAATCCAGGGATTATGTACACAATAGAAGTATGAACTGCTGGAGAGTAAGGGCCATTTGAGACAAGCCAGCCTGGGGCCCTCTCCTTATCAGTGAAAACATTAATTGCCTGCAATTAGAGATGATGTTTCGCATTCACTCAGCATAAATTATTTCATCAAATACATACTCTTTTATCCTGTAGGTGGATAAGATAAATATTGCTTCTCATCCTGCCAGAGAGCTTATTACCTTCTTGACAACAGCCAGGTCTTCTCTTTCACAGGGATACCAGCTCCTTGGTGGTGTTCCTCCACCTAACCATGTTTAATTTCACGCCAAGAAGACCAGGTGTGATTTGAAAGGCATCCTTCCAACTCCTGAAATGTATTCCTTCCAGGGTAGACCAGAATTTGGAATTCACCCATAATCCCTAAGGACAGGTGGCCGAACGATTGCCAGGCTGTATACTTTTTTTCTTTTTTGGGATGGAGTATCACTCTGTTGCCCAAGCAAGAGTGCAGTGGCGCGATCTCGGCTCACTGCAACCTCTGCCCCCGGGGTTCAAGCAATTCTCGTGCCTCAGCCTCCTGAGTAGGACAGGCGCATGCCACCATGCCTGGCTAATTTTTTGTATTTTTAGCAGAGGCAGGGTTTTGCCATGTTGCCCAGGCTGGTCTCGAACTCCTGAGCTGAGGCAATCCAACCATCTTGGCCTCTCAAATTGTTCGGACTACAGGCATGAGCCACCGAGCCCAGCCTGGACAGGCTGTATTTTTCTTCCGTCATCAGTGTGTGCAGAGGTTTGTTTTCCCAGATGTTAAGTGAGCTTTTGAGACCCGGCTTGGGAAGTCAGCATAGCCAGGGCTTCCTTCATCCTGCTGAAGAAGGTGGGACAGTTTCTGGAAAGTACTAGCTATTTCTTTCCCACACTGAGCCTCTTGGGATCACTTTGCCAGTCAAAGCCTGAATCCCTGCATAATCCAAGAGGAACGCGGTACAGAGGTGACGACAGACAGCAGCTTCTAGGTGTACCGCCCGCATGCATGCCTGCCACGAACATCAGAACAATTACAGGAAGGAGGCTTTCAAAATGCAGAATTATAACCTTGACTTAGGAAAGCGTGACCTTCTCTGGCTGGGGCCAAGGCTTTCCTTATACTAAGGGCACTCCTGGAGTGTACAGCTGGAGTGCTCTGTACATTGGATGTGGAGGCATCTGGAATAATATTACATAACAGAAGCATGTCCGTTGCCCTTGGAATGTACGAGGCTCGGGGACAGTCCTCCACTGGGTGGAGACTAGGAGGCCTCATGAATGAGTCATCTTTGTTCCCTTTTCCATGCTTTATAATTAGGGTGACATACATTTTAGTTGGTCCGGGACAGTTTCAAGCGATTCTCCTGGCTCAGCCTCCAGAGTAGCTGCCACCATGCCCAGCTAATTTTGTATTTTTAGTAGAGATGGGGTATTTCCATGTTAGTCAGGCTGGCTGGTCTCGAACTCCCAACCTCAGGTGATCCACCCGCCTTGGCCTCCCAAAGTTCTGGGATTACAGGCATGAGCCACTGCGCCGGGCCATGAAAGACTTCTTCCTTTCCTTTCCTTTCTCCTCTCCTTTCCTCTTCTGTCCTCTCCTTTCATGGACTGTAGCTTAGTTGCTCAGGCTGGAGTGCAATGGCGCAATCTCAGCTCACCGCAAGCTCTACCTCCTGGGTTCAAGTGATTCTCTGGCCTCAGCCTTCTGAGTAGCTGGGATTACAGGCACCCACCATCAGGCCCAGCTAATTTCTATATTTTTGTAGAGACAGAGTTTCACCAGGTTGGCCAGGCTGGTTTTGAACTCCTGACCTCAGGTGATCCAAGCCTACCTTGGCCTCCCAAAGTGCTGGGATTTCAGGCATTAGTCTCCATGCCTGGCCATGAAAGAATTTCTTATCCCTCTGCTCCACCAAATGTTTCTTCCTGCAGGAGATGGCCAGGGTTAGCAGGGCTGGATTTTCTTGAGCAATTCATTGGTGACAGGCCAACTCCATGGGGAAAATTCTCATCTAAGGGTTGATCTGTGAAGTTACATTATAATTCCTCAGCCCTGTCTTAAAGCTTTAGGGCACACTGATTAGGCTGTCAAACATTCATTCGGCCTGTGAGAATAGCTTATTGTTCTCTTTTTAACATACCAATCTCTTGGAAAGATGTTGATTGGGTTTCTACGTGCACCCCAAGGATGCCTCTGTGTAGAACTTACTTCAGTTGCATTGTTTTGTTTTGTTCTGCTTTTTTTGAGACACAGTCTTGCTCTGTCACCCAGGCTGGAGTGCAGTGGCGTGATCACAGGCATGTGTCACCATGCCTGGCTAAATTTTGTATTTTTAGTAGAGATGGGGTTTCACCATGTTGGCCAGGCTGGTCTCGAACTCCTGACCTCACGTGATCCTCCTGCCTCGGCCTCCCAAAGTGTTGAGATTACAGGCCTGAGCCACCATGCCCGTCTTTCTGTTGCATTTACTGCAGGGAAAAAAAAGAAAGACGGAAAACTGTTGGGCAAATGGAACTCAACAAACACCAGACAGCCAATTATGGCAAATGAAGAGGATGCCTACCATTTAATTTTGTAAATATGGGGTGTCTCCCTGGAATCATGGTCCAAAAATCCTCCCACCCATGGCCCAGCCCATTCTCACCTCTGCAGCAATAGATGAGACGGGACTTCTGCAGCCCCAGTGACCCCTGACAATCCTGTCGGGTAGCTCCCTGCAGACATGGAAGAGGGTTGTGGAAAAGTTCATGAAATTCCAAGTTTGTTCCAATATCCTGTTACTGCTAAAAATGTCCGTTCAAATTCCAAATCAAAAGCCCTGACTTTTTAGCAAATTTGTCTGTGCTACTTCTGAGACTTGTAAGACACAATATTGTGGGCGACGGGGAGCCCGCCGGGGAGTCTCGGCCAGCGAGACGGCCCCAGCCTGAAAGAGGGGGTGCGCAGAAAAAAAGAGAGACAGAAAGCTGGGGTCTGGAGGACTGAATAGGCAATGCCTATGCAGCAAGTTTATTTGTGTCCAGGGTTCCAATATATACCTTTAGATTATAAGGATTGACGTCAGTGCACATTATGTAAGCTATACAATAAGGGGAACAGAAAGTTGCAAAAAGCACAGAAAGTTGCAAAAAGCACAGAAAGCTGCAAAAAGCAAATGTCAGCAGAGGGGGTACATAATCACGAGTCATAAAAGGTAAGCAGGTGATATACTCTATCACTGTTAACAGAACACGTGGTCACAAGGATAACAATCTAGAAATGTCACAGGCTAAGCCATAAATCTTTATCTGAGTATAGGAATATCATCTGGTCCTCAAAAGGCTATACTTAACTTGGTAAACAGAGTCATAAAACCCACTCCTCAACAGGAACCGAAAGAGCACACACATCCATTACCCGGGGTCACTGTAGTCAGAAATAGAAATAGAGGCTGACATTATTCTTATTCTTTCCGTTTCTGCTTCCCCATAGCTTGACTGCCTCCAGCAGGAAACTGTGTCCAGGATCAAGCTCACGCACAGTGAGGCCCAACACTGGGGGGGCTTCACACGGGAGCGTTCCCCACACAATATGCAATCAATGATAAAAACATGAGTCTTTCAGTTTTCCTCTGCCCCAAGAGCCAAGGGCCAAAGAGCAGGTCCATCACACGGCTGTCTGTTCAGACAGGAGCAGAAGCCTCCTCCCGGGTTCCCACTCCAGAACTTTACTTTGAGCCTCTTCCAACCAGAAGGTTTTTTTTTTTTTTCCCAACCTCTGCCCTCCACAGTTCCACACCATCCTTCCTTGTTCATTTCCTCTGTGTAACACCGAGATTTAAGGGTCAGAATTAATTTCTCCTTCTTCTGGGTTCTGGTTCCGGGTTTTGCTCATAACATTACTAAAGTTCTCATAACAGTCTGCCTTATTTAGGGATTCCTCAGGCACACAAATTTCTTACAACAGCAAAAGCCCCCATAATGTTTAAATCAATGTGAATTTTTACAGGGTTTAAAAATATGTATGTCAGGGGCCTGGTGTTGTGGTTCACACCTGTAATCCCAGCACTTTAGGGGGCCGAGGCGGGCAGATCATGAGGTCAGGAGTTCGCGACCAGCCTGGCCAGCATGGTGAAACCTGTCTCTACTAAAAATACAAAAATTAGCCGGGCGTGCTGGCGGGTGCCTGTAGTCTCAGCTACTCGGGAGGCTGAGGCAGGAGAATCGCTTGAACCCGGGAGGCGGAGGTTGCAGTGAGCCAAGATCATGCCACTGACTCCAGCCTAGGTGAGAGAGCAAGACCCCATCTCAAAAAAACAAAAAAATGTATGTCAGCCAGGTGTGGTGGCTCATGCCTATAATCCCAGCACTTTGGGAGGCTGAGGCAGGAGGAATGTTTGAGCCTAGGAGTTTGAGATCAGTCTGGACAACATAGCTAGACCCCATCTCTACAAATAAAAATAAAAATTCACCGAACCTGGTGGTGCGCACCTGTGGTACCAGCTATTCTGGGGCCAAGGCAGGAGGATCACCTGAGTCCAGGAATTGGAGGCTGCAGTGAGCAGTGACGGGGCCGATGTACTCCCACCTGGGTGAGAGTGAGACTCTATAGTCTCAAAAAAAAAAAAAAAAGGAGAGTCAAAACTTCTGTATTCTTTTCTTTACCAGACAATAAACTGACTTCAAACAGGCCTTGATAAAGAGGATTTTAAATATAGGTCTTCTTGCTTCATCCTGCCAAGTATTCTGAGATACTCGGAAAACATCTCCCACGACCTCTCTCGGGGCTAATTTTGTTCCTTTTTGCTTAGGAAATGGTGATTTGTATCCTGTGTTTTGAAAACAGGAAAACACGCTGCTTTGGTTTCAACAACTCACAGTGTAGTCAGTGTCTAAAATACCCCTTCTCTTGGAGGGGGAAGCATCAGGGAAGAATAGTCGCCACCCAGACTGAAGGCCCCAGACCTCCACCCCTTCTCACCCGCACCCAAGAGCAAGGGCTGAGCCCCAAAGGGGCCTGAAGCAAGTGGAATTGTTGTAGAAAACACCCTTGCCCAAACTTCAGCACCAAAAGGTAAAGCAGAAGGGCTTGGAGCTTTGAACAAAACACACAGCTGCAGACGCAGGGACCGCAAGTTATATAAAACACCCAAGTCTGCATTTACCAGCTTACTTGTAACTGGTGCGCGGTCAGAGGCGGGCAGCAGCAGGACAGGGGCAGTGTTCTCAAGTGAATGACTAAAGGCAAAACAAGAAAACAACTCTGCCATCAGGAACTGAGAGGGGACCTGTGTTCCTGCTATGGCTGGGAGCCTCCAGAAAATGCTACTGGGACTTAATGGTTTGTTTCAAGTGTGTGCTGGCTTTTTTTTTTTTTTTTTGGAGATGGAGTTTTCCTCTTGTCAACCAGGGTGGAGTGCAATGGCACCATCTTGGCTCACTGCAATCTCCACCTCCTGGGTTCAAGCAATTCTCCTGCCTCAGTCTCCTGAGTAGCTGGGACTACAGGCATGCACCACTGTGCCCGGGGGAATTTTTGCATTTTTAGTAGAGACAGGTTTCACCATGTTAGTGAGACTGATCTGGAACTCCTGACCTTGTGATTTGCCCACCTTGGCCTGCCACAGTGCTGAGATTATAGGCATGAGCCACTGCACCCAGCTGCCTAAGTACTTTTATCTGTTTAATTGTTAATTGTTCAGGAACACTATGAGCTTCTCAGGGTTGTCCTGAGAGGTAGATCAATGTACATTATAAAGATGTCATCAGTATAGACTATTACTGAGATTTCATTCTTCTGATTTGAAAAGCAGTATGTGTATTCCTGGGAAGACTTCTGAAAATGTAGATTAGAGAAAAAGATTAAGGGAAATCCTACCATTTAGAAATTATCATTCTTAACTTTTTATTATATACCTGTGACTGGCAACATAATAGCCCCCCTGTATTAGTCAGTTCTCACACTGCTATGAAGTCATACCTGCGACTGGGTAATTTATAAGTAAAGAGGTTTAATTGACTCACAGTCCTGCACGACTGGGAAAGCCTCAGGAAACTTATACAATCATGGCGGAAGGCAAAGGGGAAGAAAGGCATCTTCCTTCTTCACAGGGCAGAAGGAAGGAGAAGTGCTGAGCAAGCGAAGGGTGAAAAACCCCTTCTAAAACCATCAGACTGCCTGAGAACTCATTCACTATCACAAGAACAGCATGAGGGTGACCGCCCCCGTGATTCATTACCTCCCACCGAATTCCTCCCAGGACACTTGGGGATTATGGAAACTACAATTCAAGATGAGATTTGGGTGGGGACATGGGCAAACCATATCATTCTGGCCCTGGCCCCTCCCAAATCTCATGTCCTCACTTTTCAAAACACAGTCGTGCCTTTCTCCCAAAGTCTTAGCTTATTCCAGCATTAACCCACAAGTCCAAGTCCAAAGTCTCATCTGAGACAAGGCAAGTCCCTTCTGACTATGAGCTTGTAAAACTGAAAGCAACTTAATTACTTCCTACATACAATGGAGGTTCAGGCATTGGGTAAATACACCCACTCTAAATGGGAGAAATTGATCAAAACTGAGGGGCTACAGGCCCCATGCAAGTCCAAAATCTAATAGGGCAATTATCAGAGTTATTAAACTTTAAATTGTTAAAGTTCCAAAATGACTCCATGTCTCACATCCAGGTCACACTGATGCAAGAGGTGGGCTCCCACGGCCTTAGGTAGCTACCCCCTGTGGCTTTTTAGGGTACAGCCCCCCTCCCAGCTTCTGGCTGCTGGCTACTTTCTTAGGCTAGCATTGAGTGTCTGTGGCTTTTGCGCCACTGTACTCCAGCCTGGGTGACAGAGTGAGACTCTGTATCAAAAAAAAAATAAAAATAAAACAAGATTTCAAAAGAACTTTGGTCTCCACTCTCCACAATCTTTTATCTTAACCTGAACATTCCCTTTCTATCAATCCCAGGTCTTTAGACAAGCTCAACCGTCAACTAAAAAATGTTTAAGTTCACCTACAGTCTGGAATCCCACCCCCCAACTTTGAGTTGTCCCGTCTTTTTTTTTTTTTTTTTTTTTTGAGATGGAGTCTTGCTCTGTTGTCCAAGCTGGAGCGCAGTAGCATGATCTCTGCTCATTGCAACCTCTCCCTCTCAAGTTCAAGCAATTTTCCCACCTCAGCCTCCTGAGTAGCTGGGATCACAGGCACCTGCCACCACACCTGGCTAATTTTTGTAGTTTTAGTAGAGATGGGGTTTCACCATGTTGGCTAGGCTGGTCTCAAACTTTTGACCTCAACTGCTCCTCTTGCCTTGGCCTCTTAAAGTGCTGGGATTACAGGCGTGAGCCACTGCACCAAGCCCCAGTGTATTTCTTAAATGTATCTGATTGATGTCTCATACCTCTCTAAAATGTATAAACCAAGCTTCGCCCTGACCACCATGGGCACATGTTCTCAGGACCTCCTGAGAGCTGTGTCTCTGGCCATGGTCACTCATATTTGGCTTAGAATAAATCTCTTCAAATATTTTGCACAGTTCAACTCTTTTCATCAATAATCATCACCCAGGGCAAATGGTTATTCCCAGAGCCACTTCCAAAACTGATGGCTGCAAGATCCAGGCTCTCTAAAGGGAGGCTGAGGACAGTGACCCTTGGAAACAACCATTTGCTTGTTGTCCAACAATGCAAGCCACTTCCTCCCTCCGCAACCAAGAACACGTTTCCTCTCTGGAGCTTGGTCAACCGGCATAATTGCTCTAGCAGAAAAGTCACCTTTCAGAGCTTGGTGTTTTGAGACCGGAATGCTTCTTATGTGTTCCTTGGAAGACAAAGAATGTTCTTCAATGAAAACCAAGTAAACAACTCCACGCCTCTCTTCTGGGTAACATGACAGAAGTTAAAAGGAAGCAGTTGGCCTAGAGTCAGTTCCAACTATTGTGTTGTTTGTACAGAAAGCACAGAATTAAAAAGCACAGGGAAGTCCACTGGATTCCAAGGAAAATGTCTGCAAGCCCACAAATTATGATGAATTATGACACCGTTTTCAAAAAAAGAGGATATCAGCATTTTATGCATTTAGTTAATGTAACAGCTAACAGTTTGCTAAACCGGCTGAGTGCAGTGGCTCACGCCTGTCATCCCAGCATTTTGGGAGGCCGAGGTGGGTGGATCACGAGGTCAGGAGATCGAGACCATCCTGGCTAACATGGTAAAACCCCACCTCTACTAAAAATACAAAAAATTAGCCAGGTGTGGTGGCATGTGCCTGCAGTCCCAGCTACTAGGGAGGCTGAGGCGGGAGAATTGCTTGAATCCGAGAGGCGGAGGTTGCAGTGAACCAAGATCGTGCTGCTGTGCTCCAGCCTGGGCGACAGAGTGTGACTTTGTCTCAAAAAAAAAAAAAACAAACCCAAAACACCAGTCTGCTAAACTGTGATGAGGCTGGGGACTCTGGTGGCTGGAAGTGAGTAGATGCTAAGTACTGGTGGACCGTTTTGTTCCTTTTAGAGCAGTTGGAACAGTATATCCTTCCAAGACCGAGCATTAAACAATAAAAGCTACAGAAAGCAAAGAGAAAATATAGTTTTAGCCGCATGTGGTGGCTCATACCTGTAATCCCAGCACTTTGGGACGCCAAGGCAGGCCGGAACGCAAGGTCAGGAGCTCGAGACCAGTCTGGTCAACATAGTGAAACCCTGTCTCTACTAAAAATACAAAAATTAGCTGGATGTAGTGGTGGGCGCCTGTAATCCCAGCTACTCGGGAGGCTGAGGCAGAAGAATCGCTTGAACCGGGGAGGCGGAGGTTGCAGTGAACGGAGATTGCGCCACGGTGCTTCAGCCCAGGCGACAGTGTGAAACTCTGTCTCAAAAAAAAAAAAAGAAGAAAGAAAAGAAAATATACCTTTGAACAGTTAGTTTCAGTTCATTCTCTTTCAGAGTGTTACACAAAAATTATAGGAGCCCCTTGTTTTGGACTAAACTCCTGCTTTAGAACCCAGAAGACCAGACTAAAATAAAAATGGACCCACCCATGCTCAGCAAACCAGTACTGAGTTGTTATCTGACTTCCCAATAAATCAGAAGAGAGAAACAGCAGCTGAATTTCCCAAGCAGGCCAGTTTCAAATTTCCAGTTAGCATGCTAATGAAGTTCCCTCTCTTTTAACCCTTACAACAAAGAGTAACCTGGTGGGCTCTGTGGCCCATGCCTATAACCCCTGCACTTTGGAAGGCCCAGGCAGGAGGATCACGTGAGGCTGGGAGTTTGAGACCAGCCTGGAGAACATAACGAGATGCAACTATGGTAAAAAGAGTAGCTATGGGCTGAGTGCGGTGGCTCACGCCTGTAATTCCAGCACATTCAGAGGCCGAGGCGGGCAGATCACAAGGTCAGGAGATCAAGACCATCCTGGTTAATGCGGTGAAAACCCCATCTCTACTAAAAATACAAAAAATTAGCCAGGCATGGTGGCACGAGCCTGTAATCGCAGCTACTTGGGAGGCTGAGGCAGGAGAATCACTTGAACCTGGGAGGCACAGGTTGCAGTGAGCCGAGATTGTGCCACCGCACTCCAGCCTGGGCTATATGAGACTCCATCTCAAAAAAA